AAGAAATATGGTATTGGAAAGGACATTTGTCCTCTCTCCTGTTTAAATTGCTTTCCACAGGTTTGGGAGAATGAGCCATTGATTTTCTTCTAGCGTGTACAGCAAACCCTGCGCAGATTTTGGCTAATTAACTTTTGAAGAAGTGCTGCTTGAATTTATCAAGGAGGTTGAAGTCCTTTTTTCTCCTCCCGTATCTTCAAAAAAGGCTTTTTACTTTTGTTTTGGAATCTTTGCCAACACCTGATCTGTTTAAATGTGACTTCCTTGGAGACAATGGTAGAGGGGTTGTTGGATGTCACCTTTCTGTGGCTTTAGTCTTTAAGACAGTTATTCCAGTCTGCAGAAAGTCTTTTCTGTTTACCTAAGAGAAGTATCAGTCATATAAAGATTACACTGAAAAGTATACATTCCCCCCAGTGTGCCTGTTACTAATTACATTGCATATTATGAAAGTGGAAAGTATTTCAGATGAAATTAATTTTCACCTGGTGTGCTACTTTGTTTGACTTTCTTGTTCTATTTGGTGCGAGGTGCAAATGTTGGCCAACCTCAACTCTTCATTTTCAGCGAGTTCACTTTCTTGTTCTTCTCATCTGGGCCAAAGCTGTTGGAAATGAGTAGCATACAGGAAAAATTTAATTTGAAATTGTACTCTACATTTCTTTTGTATTGGCTTCCAGAAGTGTATATGGAAGAGACACTGTCTTCTCCAAAAGATGAATTTTAGTAGTTTTCCTTTTCCTTTCTTTTTTCCTTTTGGCAAGCAGAATTTCTGGGTTGGAGTAGTTAACATCTTTTTTGGTGGTTTGTCAAAAAAAGATCATGGTAAACCTCTCTGTCATGTACTCTTGTCAGTTCTCACCAAGGTGGCATGGCAGGCGTAGCCAGTGTGGTTGGTCACTATTTTGTGGAGGGACCTTAGACAGTCTGTGTCATCTTGCCTGGACTGAGCTTCAGATTCTGTCCCAATGAGCCACATTGCCTTAGCAAAAGGAGGCCTTCAAGCTGGTGTGACAGAAATGAACACTGGGTTGAACAAAGTTCTTCATTTTCGATCAGTCTCATGGTTCTTATTACCAACTTTGATTACATCAATTTATGCGCCATTCTGTTTTATAGCACTTTAATGGGCTTTCATCTCCCCTCCCCAATTCATTTCCAGCTGTGCGACTATTATAATTTGACGATAGTTTGCTTTTGTAACTGGCAAGATACTTTCTGAAAATGCTATGGCTTCCGTGTGAGCGTGAGGATCTTCAGAGGTGACAGAGAAGCAAAGGATCCTCTCCCCCACCCCCAAATGCCTGTCAGCAATTATTTTCAAATGATGCCTCAGAACATCTGGTGGGAAATGATTCTCTCACCAGAAGATATTTGATGCTGGCTCAGTGGCTCACATGGTACTGCACCTGCAAGCATGAGTCCCTGAGTTCAAAACCCCAGTACCCGCCCCCGCCCCCAAGATATTTGCTTAAACCCTTTGGTAGAATTAGATCCATTGATTTAAAAAAGGGGGGGGGGCTAATAGAAAAGTCTATTTAAAAATTTGCTTTTTTAACGAGTGGTAGCAGGCATGTGCAGTAACTGGAACCCTTGTGCATTGCTGGTGATACTGTAAAATGGTTCAGCCACTGTGAAAAACAGTATGGTAGTCTTCCAAAAGTTAAGTATAGAATTTCTATGTGATCCAGCAATTCCATTCCAGTGCATGTATCCCAAAATAAAAATGAAAGCAGGGCTTGAAGAGATATTTGTACACCTATGCTCATAGGAGCATATTTCACTATCATAAAACATAGAAACAACCCGGGTATGCATTGCATGTTGAGTGCATGAGCAAATTGCAGAATATACAACCCATGGAGGAGTACTCAGCCTTAAGAAGGATGGAAGTTCTGACATACACTACAACATAGATGAACCTTGACGATATTGCATGAGTGAACTGTGCTGGCCTCAAAAAGACACATACTGTATGAATAGACTTATGTGAGTGTCATGGTGAATCTTGATTGTTGACTTGATTGGACTGAGAGACGCCCAGGAGATTAGTAAAGCACCTCTGGGTGTGCCCAGTAGGGTGTTTCCAGAGACAATTAGATCATGAAAGGCTCTGACCTAATTGACGGTTTAATCCATTGAGGGATTCAAAATTTGAATTGACTGTGGAAGGTGGAGCCTAGTTGCAAGAAATGAATCACACCTTTAAAGGGTAAATCTTCGCCCTGGCTCCTTCCTGTTACCCCTTTCTTCCTGGTTCTCATAAAGTGAGATCATGGTCCACCATGCCCTTCTACCATGGTGCTTTGCCTCACCATCAGCCCAGCAACAATGGACCAGGCAGCTACGGACTGAAACCTATGAAACTGTGAGGCAAAAGAAATACTTCTCCCCTTAAGTTGTTTTCTCAGGTATTCTGTCACATTGATGAAAAACTGACTAATGCTTCGAAGAGTCAGAGTTATAGAAACAGAAGCGAGAGTGGTGGTTGCCAAGACTAGGAATAGTGGGGAAAGGGAATTATTGTTTAATGGGTATACAGTCAGTTTTGCAAAATGAAAAGAATCTGGAAATGGATGGAGAGATGGTTGCATGACAATGTGAATGTATCTAATAGCCCTGAAGTGCACACTTAAAATGATTAAGATGGTAAATTTTATGTTAGATGTATTGCGCTGCAATTTACAAGGATTGAAAAAAACTCCCAACTTTGCTTTCTTTATTTCTTAAATATTTTGGTTAAGAAAAGCATTATTTTTAACATAGAAACCTCCCCCCCCTTATATTTTGGCTTCCTCAAATCTACACAGAACCAAAACATAGGGACATTCATGATTCACCTTGCATCAAAATGAGCTACAGCTTCGTTTGCTCCTGTCATCCCTGTGACTCCTCCCCCTCCGTTCCTCTCCTCCACTCCTCCCAAGAGACTTGAGTTTACCAAGTAGAGGTTACGTTATTATTACATTTAGATTTCCTTCTGCACTTAACAGCTTCCACTGTGAGCCTATGCCTTATTTATTAGGTATTTGATCTCATTGATTATACTTTATATTTCATCAATTATATCAGTGTTTTATTTTTGGTCTTTGAGAAGGACCCTGTCCACCACATGTCCAAGGATACCAAAGATTCAGGAACATAAAATTTATAGTGCTTAAGCAGGACACCACCCTGCAAACAAGAAAGATGTATTTGAGTCTTTTGATATTGGGATGGAAATATTTTGCATTCAGATACTATTTTAAATGGTGCTGTTCATATTTTTCATCAAGAAAGATATTTTTTCTTTAACTATATGGTTTTAGAAGATGGGTGTGTGTCCTTCTCCTCCTCCTCCCGCCATAACTGGGTCTATCTTTGCAGAATGTTTTCTTTGTCCTGCCAGGTTTCATTTATGTGGAGGGCTTCTTTTCCCTTGTAGTGGGAATATGGGAGTCTTTGCAGGTTATTTGGGTTTATCTAGAGTGCCTTTGCTAGTGACCTCTGAGAAAAAAGTGTGGCTTATGGTGGGATGTTAAGGACCATGCTGTAGAAGTTTGGGGTCCTGTAGGTTCCTGGCAGAACACGCTTCTTGAGCTGCCTCCCCTCTGGAGTCAGACCTGAAGCTGCCTAGATTGGGGACTGCTCACTTTTACTGATGGTTTGTTTTGGGGCCCTTTGCTCTATGTTAAAGGAGTTTCTAAGTGACCTGGGGGATTTGGACAGGAACTGGAACAGGTAGCCACCTGATGCCGACTTGGCAAGGCTCTTAGTGCTCATGGCAATTCTTCCAGGGAGGACGTTGGGAGACCCCAGTTTGCCCCGGCCTCACTCCTTCACTCTCTTGTCTCCTGGCAGGCTCGGGGACCAGTTCTACAAGGAAGCCATTGAGCACTGCCGGAGTTACAACTCGCGGCTGTGCGCGGAGCGCAGCGTGCGCCTCCCGTTTCTGGACTCGCAGACCGGCGTGGCCCAGAACAACTGCTACATCTGGATGGAGAAGCGGCACCGCGGCCCAGGTGAGCCCTGCCACTGTGCCACGTGCGTGTCCGGCTCCCGGGATGGTGCAAGGACGCCCAGTGTCCAGGAGGCCCTGCCGCAGGGCAGGGTGGGGTCGGGCCAGCGGCACCTGCTGTCCAGAACGCAGCTGCCTCCATGGCTCCTGGCAGGTGTTTGAGAAAAGAGACAAGGGGCCACCGAAGCCGTGGGGCAGGGGGTGAAAGAACGAACTCAGGATATTTGTCCCAAAGAAACCAAGGTGGATACATGAGAGCAATTTTGCACTCTTTACCCTTGGGACTTGGTTACAGGTTGGAAACCTGCAGTCAAATAGGAGTGTGAGGCTAGCTTTGTCACCAAAACTCTGTCCCTTGGGTTCCTCATCTGGAAAATGTTGATAACATTAGGATTTACTATAGAGGGTTTTGTCAGGATTAAATGAAGATATTCATAAAAAGCTCAGGAGTTTAGTGTGTAGTATGTGCTCCAAAAATGCTGGATATTATTGTTGATATTACTGTTAATTTCATTACTACTGCAACTATTATGACAATAGTCTTGTAGGCTTCAGACAACAGAATAAAGATCCATTGTGGAGCTTAGGGAGGCAACTATAGGAACGCAGCTTCTGGCTTTCTATATACATAATTAAGGATTTTTAATTTTGAAAAATTTCATACCCTTGTAAAAATGAAGACAATAGTGAATTGTAGCCTCAACGATGACCAACCAACTCATGGCCAGTTTATTTATTTATTTATTTATTCATTTTTCTTTTATTATTCATATGTGCATACAAGGCTTGGTTCATTTCTCTCCCCTGCCCCCACCCCCTCCCTTACCACCCACTCCGCCCCCTCCCTCTCCCCCCACTCAATACCCAGCAGAAACTATTTTGCCCTTATTTCTAATTTTGTTGTAGAGAGAGTATAAGCAATAATAGGAAGGAACAAGGGTTTTTGCTGGTTGAGATAAGGATAGCTATACAGGGCATTGACTCACATTGATTTCCTGTGCGTGGGTGTTACCTTCTAGGTTAATTCTTTTTGATCTAACCTTTTTTCTAGTTCCTGGTCCCCTTTTCCTATTGGCCTCAGTTACTTTAAGGTATCTGCTTTAGTTTCTCTGCGTTAAGGGCAACAAATGCTAGCTAGTTTTTTAGGTGTCTTACCTATCCTCACCCCTCCCTTGTGTGCTCTCGCTTTTATCATGTGCTCAAAGTCCAATCCCCTTGTTGTGTTTGCCCTTGATCTAATGTCCACATATGAGGGAGAACATATGATTTTTGGTCTTTTGGGTCAGGCTAACCTCACTCAGAATGATGTTCTCCAGTTCCATCCATTTACCAGAGAATGATAACATTTCGTTCTTCTTCATGGCTGCATAAAATTCCATTGTGTATAGATACCACATTTTCTTAATCCATTCGTCAGTGCTGGGGCATCTTGGCTGTTTCCATAACTTGGCTATTGTGAATAGTGCCGCAATAAACATGGATGTGCAGGTGCCTCTGGAGTAACAGTCTTTTGGGTATATCCCCAAGAGTGGTATTGCTGGATCAAATGGTAGATCGATGTCCAGCTTTTTAAGTAGCCTCCAAATTTTTTTCCAGAGTGGTTGTACTAGTCTACATTCCCACCAACAGTGTAAGAGGGTTCCTTTTTCCCCTGCATCCTCGTCATGGCCAGTTTTTATTGTTACTCACCGGCCGCGTTCCTCCCTGACTCCAGATTATTTTGAAGTCAAGCCAGGACAACATATTATTTTGTTTTGTTAGGTATCTCTATATGGCAAGGATTTAAAAACCAAACCAACATATCACTGCTATCTAATTTCAAAGGGACTTTAATAGCACCAAGTTTTAAATTTTATTGCTATTAAATATTTAATATCACCAAATATTTCACTACCCTCTCTGGCTTAAATCAGAATCCAAATAGGATCTCTACACTGCAACTGCTTGAAATGTCTCTTAAACTCAATAGGTTTCTCTTTGCTCTCTCTCTTCTCCTTGCATGTTATTTGTTGAAGAAATGGGGTTGTTTGGACATAGAGTTTCCCAGAGCCTGGATTCAATGACTACATCCTTTGATGTCATTCCTACGAATTGGTAATTAGGTCTAGTGACTTATTCAGGCTCGGTTTTTTGGGCAAGAACAATTCTTAAGTGGTAGAGTGTACTTTTACCAGCCATCATATGGTTCTCTCTCTCTTTTTTCTTTTTTTGGTGGTACTGGGGCTTGAACTCAGGGCCTCATGCTTGCTAGGCAGGTGCTCCACCGCTTGAGCCACTTTGCCAGCTGTTTTTTGTGTTGGGCATTTTTGAGATAGGGTCTGGAGGACTATTTGCCCAAGTTGGCTTCAAACTGAGATCCTCCTGATCTCTGTCTCCTCAGTAGCTAGGATTACAGGTGTGAGCCACCAGTGCCTGACTTGGTTATCTCTTGCTTATTGATGTTTGCAACCCTTGACAATTGTCTAGATTTTTTTATTTCTTTCACTCAAGACTTTGCACTTCCAAAGCGGATGCCCTCTGCTTTACTCTTTGAGCCACACCTCCAGTCCATTTTTCTCATTGTTTTGAAGATGGGGATCTCTTGACCTATTTGCCCAGGCTGGCCTCAAATTTTGATTCTCCCAACCTCAGCCTCCCAAGTAGCTAGGATTATAGGCATGAGCCAGTGATGTCTAGCATTGTCTAGATTCTTATTCCATTGGAAGTTGTGAAAAGGTGGCATTTGATTTGAGACCTTATTATTTCTTCCTTTATTAATTCTATATATTTTGTAAAGAAAAACATCCCTTCATTAAAATTTTGGTTATTATGAAATACAGCTGACATAAAAAGGCAGGATAAATAAATTCTTTTCTCCTTTATTTACCAGCTTTCAAAATAAAGAGTTGGCTTCTGGCATTTTTCAAAGGTGATCCATGATCAACAAACCTTTTTTGCTTGTGTTGCAATACTGGGATTCAAGCCATGCTCCTAGCCTCTTTTTCTTTTTCTTTTCCTGGTAGGGTCTCACATTTTTTGCCTCAACTGGCTTGACCGAAATCTTCCTACCTATTTTTCCTGTGTAGCTGGGGTGACAGGCCTGTGCCACCACACCCAGATTTTTTGTTGAAATGTCTTGCTAACTTTTTGCCCAGGCTGGCCTTCAACTGAGAGCCTATCTATCTCTGCCTCCTGAGTAGCTGGTATTATAGGTATGAGTCATTGTACTTGGCCCAATGCCATCATGGACTCACAGATTTAAATATATTTGTTACAGTTTAATTCATGGCAGCTGTTGTTCTGATTGATGCTTACATTGTCCTGTCATTGGCCAGTAGGGATTTTGAAACATTCTCAGAAGTTTCTGATGGCCTCCTTGTCACCCTAATGTCAGGACAAAACGTTTCAAGCTCACCTGTATGTGCTCTGCCCCAGCCCTGGACAGAGCCATTTGTCTAAAAAACCCTAGTACCTTCCACAGGAAGTGCTATTAGAGACTATAGTCTGTGGTATTCATTGCTTCTGGGTTGGTCATTGCTTTTAGGCCTTTTCAATCAGTGGAACTAAGAAATATGATTTGTTTTTTCTTTTTCTTTAAAGTGAAAATCTATTATGAAATTATACTGATTTTCCCATTCAATTAAGTTACAAGCAATTTGTACTTAACCATCTCCATTTGTATCTCTTCCTTCCCATATCAAAACCCCCTGGATATTAAATGATACCAGTGTACTTACTTCGTTACTTTTCTCCACAATACACACACAATGATATCAGAATAATAATTTTTGTTATTACAATTTTATAATTCTTCTTTCCTTAGTATATACAGTGAAATTACCTTAGGCTGTAGAGTGAAGTTACTCTGTCTTCATGTCACTTGGAATAGTTTTCTCTGTACATAGTTGGATTTATTTATTTCATTTTGATTTTACATTTCAGGGATTTCTGTGTGTGTGTTTCAAAAAATTTCTTCTTTTTTATTTAGAAATTATTATATGCCTACTGGAAACTGCAAGCATAGTACAGAGAGATCCTTTATAGTTTTCATTCCATTTCCTCTAAGATGTACACACATCTCACTATGTCATGCCCAGAAACTGACAGTGGTAAAATGTGTGTGCATAGCTCTGTGCTGTTCTGTCACATATATCATCACAAGATGCAATATTATTTCATCACCACAAAGTTCTCCCTAGAACTACCCCTTTGTAGTAGCCCCAGTGCTCCCTGTCATCATCAAGTCCTGTACCCTCCCCTGTTAAAATACAGCTGTTTGAAGCATTTCCTTTGTACATATTGAGCACTGGAGCAGATAGGGTAATGTGTGCTCCAAACATCTTTATTGCATTTCCTCACAGGTAGACTGGTGACAACTCTTAGTTTTCTTTCATCAGAGAATGTCTTGATTTTTCCTTCATTCCTTTTTTTGTGTGTGTGATGGGGTTTTTTTTGAAATAGGGTCTTGCAAACTATTCGCCCTGGCTGGCTTTGAACCATCTTCCTGATCTCTGCCTCCTGAGTAGTTAGGATTACAGGTGCTGGGTAAATTGAAATTTTTTTTTTTTTGGTGGTCCTGGGGCTTGAACAAAAGGCCCCACGCTTGCATAGGCTTGCTAGGCAGGGGCTCTACCAGTTGAGCCACTCTGCCAGCCCCTTTCCTTCATTCTTGAAGGATATTTCGCTAGATATAAAATTCTGGGTTGAAAGCACTTGAAAAATATTTGCCATTCAAATGGTTTTTCCCTTGCATAAGTAGTAGCATTTCTTTCTCATTGCTTTCAAGATTTCTTTCCTTGTCTTTAGTTTCAGAAATTTATTCTTTGTTTTTGGCTGTGCTGGTGTTATAAACTCAGGGCTTTGCACTTGCTACACAAGCTTTCTAACTGCTAATCCCCTTTTTTGCTTTACTTAGTTTTCCAAAAGCATCTCACTTTTATGCCAGGGCCGGCCTGGACTACCATCCTCTTATTTGTGCTTCCAGTATAGTTGAGATGACCAGTCTGTGTCACACTGGGCCCAGCT